TCTCTAGTGTGAGAAACTGAAAGTGTAAATAAGGACTAAAAGGTATAATAGATAAAGTGAAATAGGAAGAAAAGGGGCAAAGGGGAGGGGGAAGTGGGAGGGGTAGGGGAAAGGAAAGAAGGGAATGGAATTAATATGAGAAAATGAAAAAAGGAAACAAGGTCTTTGTAAATAGGGAGGGATGGAGGGGTTGAAGGGAGGTCAGGAGAATGGGGAAAAAAATAAGAACCAAGAGAGATTTTGTAAAGGTGCAAATTTCCAATGATGAATATCATTATATTGTACACCTAAAATGTACCAATAAAAGGATTAAAAAAACACACAAGGTGTCATAGGAGCAGGTTGTTTTGACAAGAGAGACTGAGAAAGATGGGGCATGAAGGATGAGAAGACTTTTGTTAGGTGCAAAATGGACAAAAAAAAAAAAAAAAGCATTGCAGGATTATGAAGGGAGGAAAGCACCAGCCAAGCTACCAGTGTGCTTGGTGATTTGGAAGTAGATGTAAAATATGTTATCTGATGCTCTCATGGCTCCTAGAGACAGGCACTACTTCCCTATCCTGCAGATGAGAAACTGAGGAAGAAGATATCTCACCTCACACATAGCATACATAGCAGAGAGTGCTTTCCTCAGACTCTGTCACACAGCCTGGTGCTTCAATACACTGTTTCTGCTAGTGTGATGAGTCTAGACTTTCTTCTTCCCTAGTGCTTCCCAGGAGGAATTAAATTGCCTAATAAACGAGAACATTTTGTGACCTGTGAATTGGGAAAATGTAACAGATCTAAATGGGAAAATCTCCTTAATCACCTCTGCTCTGCTATTTCTGACTTTGAAGAGCTCATACCGAGTTCATTGGACTCATGAGACTTGTCTTAGGAAGCAAAGCTTATGCAAATCTTCAGTGAATGGTGACTTACAGAGGTCTAGAATCTGCATTAAGTTTCTAGAATCTGTTTCTAAGTTTCAGAACAATTTAAAAATGGCCGAACCTCCAAAGCAGCCTTCACACCCATTTGTTCCTTACCCTCCAATATCATTAAGAAGAGCTGAATAACCTGTTAATAGAATGAGACTTGTTTGGTGGTAATCCATTGGATTCCGTTTGGGTACATTTTTTTCCTTTTTTGAGTATTTTCTCAAGTCTCTACCCTCTCCAACAAAAATCCAATCTAAATGGTTGTTATCAAGATAGATTTTGATCTAGGTTCAAACAAGATACCAATTCTTAATTATTCTTCTTGTGTTTACTTAGGGTTATTCAATTCTTTCTCTTCCCTTAACACAAAGACTACAATGTGAACTTTCCCCCATTAACTCCTGAAGGCAATAATGAATGTCTAGTCCCTCTGATTAGTATCTTGTCATCTACTTGGTAAAGTAAGAGGGAAAAATATTGTTTTCAATTGTTATTTGTTTTGTTTTCTGATCTCACTGTGTTGTCCAGGCTGGCCTTGTACCAACTGTGTACCTTAAGGCTGGTCTCAAACTCATGATTCTCCTGTTTCAGCTTCCAAAGTGCTGAAATTATAGGCATGTGCCATCATGCCTAACATGTTGTTTAAAATTAATGTTTAAGTTACAGACACCTTGACTTCAGTTCAGAAAGAAGAAAAGGGTATAATTTATATTTGACTTATGCTCACTAAAACTTGAAGGGATTTGTCCAGCGGTGCATGACTTTGCACAACACAATCCAAAGACAATGCTCTTTATAGAATGTACCTGAGTAGCTATGACAACTTATGTAATGTGTCACCAAAGGAGCATAACAGACTCAGAAAGCCTTGCCAGAATTCTTTACTCTTCCCCCACTTCCACTGCTCTGCTTTGTGTAATCCTGTTTGCTGTATTCCCAGTGAAACTTCAATGGAATTAAGCTTCATAGATGTAAAAAGAGGTATATAGAGAAGCACAAACTTCTACTCAGGGCCCTTGAGACTAACAGGAGTCATTTGCTGAACCACCAGGATTGTTAAAAGCTACTTTTTGCTCCTATCTTCATGGGGGGGGGGGG